CGGTTGGATCACGAGGTCAGGAGTTTGAGACCAGCCTGGCCAAGATGGTGAAACCCAGTATCTACTAAAAGTACAAAATTAGCCGGGCATGGTGCCAGGTACCTGTAATCCCAGCTACTCAGGAGGCTGAGGCAGGAGAATTGCTTGAACCTCAGAGGCGGAGCTTGCAGTAAGCCAAGATCGTTCCACTGCACTCTAGCCTGGGCGACAGAGCAAGACTCCATCTCAGAAAAAAGAAAGGAAAGAAAAGAAAACTTTTTGTTTGTTTTGTAGAGACAGGGTCTCACTCTGTTGCCTGGGCTGGTCTTGAACTCCTGGGCTGAAGCAATCCGCTCACCTCTGTGCTGAGAGGTGAGTGATTACAGCTCTCAGCACCCAAAGTGCTGAGATTACAGGCATGAGTCACCATGCCCAGCCAATACATTCTTTGTCTATGGCTAAGTAATATTCCACTGTATGACTAGAGCACGCTTTATGTATCTGCTCATCCATAGGTGAACATTTGGGGTGTCTCCTCCTTTTTGGCTGTTGTGAATGGTGCTGCTATAAATGGTTGTGTGCTAGTGTCTGAGAACAGGTTTGCATCTCTTGGGTAAATATTTGGAGTGGAATTGCTGGGCTGTAGGAGCATTTTACCTCCCTTATGCGTGGAGTCCTCCCAATGAGTCCAGTAGGGAGGAATCGCTCTCATTTTGGAGACGAGAAAACTGAGGCTAACAGATGCAGAATTGCATGTGGCAGGCACAGGGCTAGAAGGTGGGGGAGCCCAGGTTTTGTTCAGCTCTAGGCCGGGCCCGTCCTGTTGAGCTCCACCTGCCGCTGCTCATGCCCTTTCTGGTGTGACTACTCCCCAGGCAGCCCCTGCACTCCATAGTCCTCCTCATCTTCCTCTCGAAGTAGACAGGGGCTCACTAACCAGGCTCCATACCAGGCTTGGGGCAGCTTTGGGGAGTAGAGGGAGCATTTGGGCTTGGATGGCTGGGAGAGGAAGAGCCTTCGAATCCCAGCAATGTCTGGAGCAGCATAGACTCTGCAGGAGAGAGCAGGAGACAGGGTGGAGCCAAGGAAGGCTCAGCCAGGCGTGTGGGGTCCCACGTGTCTCATGGCCCTGCGCTGTTTGCCTTTTCTGTGGGGCCTCTGGGTGGCACCTAGGGGCTGAGAGCAGGGGCCAGCTCTGGTAATCTGCATGTGTCCCAAGCCTAGGGGAAGCTGGCAAACCAGGCATGGCCCCAGCCCAGCCTGAGTAGCTCCTGCATTTCTGTGGGCAGGAGGCAGGGACAGTGGTGTATGGGGGTCGATCCTCCGTGATGGTCCGGGTCCCAGCTCAGTGCTGTCGGAAGCGGCATCACAAGAATAAGAGGAGCCACGGCAGCCAGCCCATGGGAGGGCACATTCCTCATGTCCATACCAGGGCTTTGGGGGCTTGGAGGACCACCAGGGAGCCCCTAAGCAAACACACAGCCAGTGGGCAGAGGAAGGGGCTGTGGGCTGGCCAGCACACGCCATACATCTGGGAAGGAGGCCAGCCCAGGCTGCAGTGAAGCCGCCGCCAGCTCCACTCAGGGCTGAACCTCGGCAATTCTGCTGGCTCAGCGGCCCCCTCCCAGGATCATCCTTGGAAGCCTGACTTCCTGGAGGGCTGCCCGAGTCCCACACCTCTGCATCCTCATCCCCCAGCCGGAGCGGCCACCTGCCCTGCTGCCCCCATCCCCAGGCTGCAGGAACCCCAGGCAGACACACGTCTGTTTTCATGAGGACCTTCCCGTCGGCCCTAGACTGCAGGTGGAGCTTCTGGCCCATTTCACAGATGAGGCAGCTGAGCATTGGGGACTTACCCAAGGTCACGGGTTGCAGTATCAGATCTGAGGCTTCCTGGTCCCTCCTGGGCTTTAGCCTCACCTAGCAGAAGGCTCTGGTCCCCTCCTGCCACATTGCACCCTATGGGGTGAGGAATCTCTGAGTTCCTGAGCAGGAATCCACCTGGAGCCTAGGTGTCCCTTCTAGACCACACTCTGAGCACCTAGGACCCTGGAGTTCCCTGCCCAAACAGCCCCAAGCCCACTTCCAGGATCCGCACAGCCCTCTGCCCAGTCTGTCCTCCTGAAGGTAGGTCACGCAGCAGGGTGATCACCCTAGCTCTGAGGAGCGACTAAGGGGGTGCCTGTTTATGTAGTGTGGACAGTGCTGGAGCTGGGCAGTGAATAGGTGGGGTAGCTACAAACAGGGGTCAGTTAATCACCCAAGGAATCTGAGAATTTTCTTTTCTTCTTCTTCTTTTTTTTTTTTTTTTTTTTTTTTTTGAGATGGAGTCTCACTCTGTCGCCCAGGCTGGAGTGCAGTGGCGCGATCTCAGCTCACTGCAACTTCCGCCTCCCGGGTTCACGCCATTCTCCTGCCTCAGCCTCCCGAGTAGCTGGGACTACAGGTGCCTGCCACCACGCCCGGCTAATTTTTTATTTTTATTTTTATTTTATTTTATTTTTTTTTTGAGACGGAGTCTGGCTCTGTCGCCCAGGCTGGAGTGCAGTGGCCGGATCTCAGCTCACTGCAAGCTCCGCCTCCCGGGTTTACGCCATTCTCCTGCCTCAGCCTCCCGAGTAGCTGGGACTACAGGCGCCGCCACCACGCCCGGCTAGTTTTTTGTATTTTTTAGTAGAGACGGGGTTTCACCGTGTTATCCAGGATGATCTCGATCTCCTGACCTCATGATCCACCCGCCTCGGCCTCCCAAAGTGCTGGGATTACAAGCGTGAGCCACCGCGCCTGGCCGAATCCGAGAATTTTCAGTTCGAACTTGGGCTTTCAGGTCATGATGAAGGTGTATTTGTCAAGGTAGGAGGATAGAACATACTTAACAGGTTACTGGCGTGATTTGTAGCGTTTGAATATTTGAACATTTGGCGTGTGGGCCTCTGTGTGTTAAGCACAGGTCAGTGTGGTTTGTCTTAATATGTCCAAAACAGAAAAATAATAGTAACGCCAGTAGCCATCTTATTTTTATTTTTAGTTCTTCCTATGTGCTCTTCACACTGCAAGATACCGTAGATACAAACATGCACAAAACACACTTGCTGCACGGGCAGAGAGACCCAAGAATACCATAATATCTACAGCAGCCATTTTTTTTGAGCCCTTACTAAGTCCTGCTGTGAAGCACTTTGTGGATAGTATCACAGTTTATCCTCCCGTAACCTAAGGGGAGGTAGCATGCATATCCTCATTTTACAGAGGGAAACAGACAGGCAGTGGGCTGGGTGTGGTAGCTTATGTCTGTAATCCCAGCACTTTGGGAGGTTGAGGTGAGAGGACTACTTAAGGCCAGGAGTTCAAGACCAGCCTAGGTAACATACTGAGACCTCATCTCTACTAAAAATCAAAAAAATTAGCCGGGTGCTACTCAGGAGGCTGAGGCAGGAGGATCGCTTGAGCCTGGGATGTTGAGGCTGCAGTGAGCTATGATGGTGTCACTGCGCCCCAGCCTGGATGACAGAGCAAGACTCTGTCTCAAAGAAAAAAAAAAGAATGACAAAGTGACCAGCTCATGATCACAAACCACTAAGAGGGGGAATAGGACACATCCAGAGGTGCAGGTGCAAAGCCCAGACTCACAACCTCAAGACTCTGGGACCCCAGGTGAGTCCCTTGGTTTCTCTAAGCCTCAGTTCCTTCATCTGTAAAATGGGGACACTGAGTCCAACCTCATCTAGGAGGTGACCAGCACAGTACCTGACCCAGCAGGTATGCAACTGGTCGTTGGAAAGGGCAAGAGGAAAGGCCCTAGCATTTGTGGACCCCCCCGGGAGTGCTGGAAGACCGAGGGCTGCTACCTGAACCTAACAGGAGACCCCACGGAGGGCACAGAAAACGGCCAGCTGCCCACAAGGATGCCGGGACCCCGGTGCCTGTCACCTTCCCTGTCCCTGCTCTCTGAACTCCTCCGTCCCCCTGGACCTGCTCAATGGTCTGGGGCCACAGGCAGTGGGGTGCCAGGCCACGCCTCATAGAATGGGTGCGACCCTCTCCAAATTCTCCAAACGGCCTTGCCCGCTTGGGTGATGAGGGAAACGGAGCCTGAGCCGGGACTCAGACCCCCACTGATCTGCCTCTAGAATGCTGCAGGCCTGATGGGAGAGGGTCTGAGGCACAGGGTGGCCCCAGCCTTCAACCAGGAGCTCAGAGAGTGACAAGTCAGGGCCTCCAGCACCCAGGAAGCAGGACCCATCTGCCTGGGCTGCAGGCTGGAGAGTGGGCAGACCTGGGCCGGGGGGCTCGTTGGGGCCGGAGGGAGGTTCTGGTTCCGTGTGGGTGGAGATAGAGGCGACCCCCAGTCGGTGCTGGGAGTGGGGAGTTGAGCTCCCTCAGTGGGGGCGGTGGGGGCTACCTTGGGGTCGGGCTTCGGACTGAGGCTGGGGGAAGCTGTGGCGCCCGCATTATTTGCGGAGAGGAGCAGGAAGATGCTTGGGGGTTGGGGGTGCGGGTTCCCTGACACCGAATTCATTATTGGGAGATTCCTCTTCACAATCCCTCGACACCTCCCACGGGAACCCCGGGCCAGGAACGCCTGACAGCCTGGCGGGCCGGCTCCAGGGCCACTGGCGCCCGGGTCTCTCGGAGCCCGGTCCCCGCCCGCCCGCTGCCTCGGAACCCTCCCCCGCGGGTCCCGCAGCCTCTGGAAGCCTCTCTGGGCTCAGCCCCGCGCCGCCGCCGCGTCGGGGCTCCGAGTGCACCCCCGGCAGCTGCGTCCCCGGCCCGACTAGCCGCCCCAGGCCGCAGGCGTCCGCAAAGGCCTGGCCTGAGCGCGCGGCGCGCACGTGGGGAGGGGGCGTCCCGGGGCGGGCGCGGGGAGGGCGGAGCCACGGGCCCGGGCGCGCGGCCGGCGCGGGCTGACGGAGGTCGGCGGCCCGGGAGCGGACCCCGGCGTCCGGGAGGCGGCGCCAGGTGCCGCGCCCCCGCCCCGCGTCCGCCGCGCGCCCCCGCCCCCGGGCCGCCCCCCGCCCGTGACGCGCTCCCCGCCCCCTCCGCGCCGGGAGCCCGAGCCCAAGCCGGAGCCCGAGGAGGGCGAAGGGGCGGCGGGCGGCGAGGAGGCGGCGCGGGAGGCGGCTGGTGCCGCGGGGCCGCCGCCGCCTCTGAGCCGCGCCGAGCGCACGAGCGCAGCCGCGTCGCTGCGGCCCCGGCCGCGCCATGGGGAAGGAGCAGGAGCTGGTGCAGGCGGTGAAGGCGGAGGACGTAGGGACCGCGCAGAGGCTGCTGCAGAGGCCGCGGCCCGGGAAGGCCAGTGAGTGCCGGGGGCGCGGGGCGTGGGCGGGAGCCCCGGGGGCCCCTCCCCGGCGCAGAGCCCCCCACCCCTCCCGGCGCCGGGCGGGGAGGGTACGCTGTCGGGTCCCCGGGGGCGGGGCGGGGCCAGCAGCGCCCAGACCCTCGGTCCGTGCCCCCCACCCGCTGTCCCCAGCACTGGAGATGGGGCGGCCCGGAGAGCCGGCCGTCACCCTGAGCCCCCCAGCGGGCACCTGGCGGCACCCGCCTCCCGGGCCGCGGGCGTTCGCATCCCTCCCTCCCTAACTCTGTCCCCCTCCCTTCCCAGGCTGCGGGCTGACAGCTGGAGGTCTCTGCTGGGGCCTTCAAAGGGCGAGGCGGATGCCCCCCCCAACCACACGCACCGGGCAGACAGGGAGGGGGCCCCTGCGGGGAGGGGCGACCCGGGAGCTGACAGTCCCTGGCAGACCCCCTCCCCGCCCCACGTTTAATAACACGCTTTGCAGGGAAGGTGGGGGGCAGGATCACGCTGGGGGTGTGGCTGCCCTGGCATGGCCGGTGGGGGGCCATTTACTGATGGGAGAGCAGAGGCCCAAGGTCGCCCAGCCCAGGGCAGGCTGGACTCCAGGCAGGGCCGGCCTGGGGGCAAGGGCTTGGGGCCCTGCTCAGCCAGGCTCCAGCCGACCCAGGTCCCCAGCTTCCCTGCTGGGAAAGGAGGCCATGAGGGAGTGGGGGACCACCATTGGCTATCCCCAGCTTGCCCTGTGGGGGCCCCAGGAAAGGGCTGGGAGCTTGGAGCCCTGATCCCAGCACTCATCCTGGCTCAGCGCGTAGCCTCCCTGGGGGCCGCGGGAGATGGATGGATGGGCGTGTGGACCAGCCGCGTGTGCGGCTGCGCACGTATAGCCGTGTCAGTGTGTCAGGGCACCTGTGCAGGCACGGATAGGGCTCTGCAGGTCGGCATGTGGGGTCTGGGCGTCCTCCCTCCTCCCTCCACCCCCACAGACTGTAAGACAGGGAGTCCTCCCGTTCCTCCAGGGGGATGCCAAGAACTGGGACTGGCTTCTGGGAGGTCGGTGGGGGGAACCTAGAGTCCCAGGGGAACCCCCCACTCCTGCACTTTACCAGCGGCCCATGACTGGCCAGCTCCTGTCCACTGTGTGCAGTAAGAGAAAGGGGACACCGGTGCCTTTGCACGCTGGCCCCGAGCTGATTTCAGGTCCCTGGGCTCAGAAAGGGAGAGCTTGTGGGCAGAGGTAGCCTCAGCTGAGCCTGGAGACCAGGTGTAGGGATTGAGAGGGAAGGCAAGGTAAAGGCTTCCACCTAGTGGTCGCATGACCTTGGACATAGACAGCTCCAACTCGGTGGACCTCAGTCTCCTCGTCTGTAGGATGGGATGTCAGCCTCACGGAGGGGTCCTAAGATCAGTGAGCCTGGGCGCTTGGAGCCCAGGCATTCAGTAAGTGCTCAGTAAATGCCAGCGATGACCGCAGCCTTAGACGGCCCAGGTCCAGGGGCCGGGGAAGTGGGGGCTTCAGCTCTGGGGAGGTTCCTCCTCCCTTCTATTGTGGCCATTCTGGGGGCTTCCATCCTCACCTGGGTCTCTGCCTGTCTTGCCTGGCCTCTGGGGCAGGAGAGACACCTGCCCTGGCCCCGGCTCCTGCTCTCTGACTCACAGGGGCGGGTGTAATAAATCAGAGAAGAAATCCCTCCATGAATTAGCTCCGTCGTCATGGCAACGCTGGCCTGCTTTGGAGTAAGATGTATTTTGATTCAGTAAAGTACAGCTGAGTTTGGGCCACGAGGTGGGGGGTGTCCAGCAGTGTCCTCCAGGGTCCCCTGAGCCCAGGGCTGTCCCCATGAGCTTTACTTCCATGGTCCCCTCTGGGTGCCCGGCCCCTTCCCTCCACCGCCTTCTCCAGAGTCACCCCAGGCTCAGCCAGCCCCCCACTCACCCCGTCCTGAAGGGAGCCTCCCGTGCCCGCATGCACACACTTAGCCGCTGTCCTTGAGCGGAAGAGGAGCCTGTTCTGGGGGAGATGCCGGGGCAGGGGCTGGCCTCCTGCTGGTCGGGAGGGACCTACTCTTCCCTCTGACCCAGACCCTATCCAGGAAGGCCCCCTGTCCGTGGAGGCAGGTCTGAGAATGCCCTGGAGGACGCCCCTGAGCACCGAGGGCCAGCGCCCCGCCCCCCTCTCACCTTCTAATAGCCCCCTAGTAGCTCCCTTCTAGCCCGGGGTATGAACTGGATCCCAGAGTTGGGGACAGGCTCAGGAGAGCAGTGAGAGGGCTGGTCAGGGATAAGGGCTTTACTGTCATAGAGTCACAGGGCTTAGGGACCTCATGGAGAGGGAGGGGGGCTCCTGGGCTTTCATTCTGGCCCTGGTCCCCTCCAGCTATGCTTGCTCCTGCGTCATCCAAAGAACCCATTTCCAGGTGAAACAGCCCCCAGCCCCAGGCCCTTCTCAGTTCTGGGACCTTCCTGGGTAACCAGTCTCCCACAGGAATTGGGGTTAGCATGTCCCAAGACCTCAAGTTCCCTCCATCCAATTTCAGCCATTTTCCCCCTTGAGGAGACCATGGGTGGGGAGAGGGATGAGATGGCTTTACTAAGGCACTCCTTCTCACATGGGGGTGGTCCCCTTCCTAAGGGAGACATCCTCCCCCACTAGCAGCTGTCACCTTCTGGGCTTTGACCTCCAGCCCCCCGAGATTTCAGCCCCTGCAGGTGTGGCTGGGTGAGAAGGTGGTTTCCACTCTGGCTGCCTTAGCTGGGGGAGGGATGATAGGGCCTGGCTTGGGCAATCCTGGGGACATGCTGAAGGCTGGCTACCCTGGAGCTGGGAAGAGCGGGGCTCAGTGTTCTGGGGGGAGAACCTCCTGATTGTGACCCTGGCAGGGATGCATGGTTCAGTGACATCTGCGCTCCCTTCAGCTAAATGGTAAGGGATGGTGGCAGGCCCTACGACATAATTCCCAGGTCCCCACGCAAAATGTAAATGCAGGGCCCCTTGCTCAAAAATAAGAATTTCAGGTCGGGCACGGTGGCTTTGCCTGTAATCCCAGCACTTTGGGAGGCTGAGGCAGGCGGATCACCTGAGGTCAGGAGTTCGAGACCAGCCTGACCAACGTGGAGAAACCCCGTCTCTACTAAAAATACAAAATTAGCTGGGCGTGGTGGTTCATGCCTGTAATCCCAGCTACTCAGGAGGCTAAGACAGGAGAATTGCTTGAACCCAGGAGGTGGAGGTTGTGGTGAGCCGAGATCGCACCATTGCACTCCAGCCTGGGCAACAAGAATGAAACTTTGTTTCCAGACAGAAAAAAAAAAAAAAAAAGAATTTCAAGATGGTGACAGGAGAGCATCTGCAGGCATGGGGTCCTTCTGAGCCAAGCACAGGCCACACACCCGTGAAGTCCCCTCGGCAGCCAGGCAGGGTGTGGGGGATGAAGAGATCGGTCCAGTCTGCTGCTGACTGAGCACCTCATCTGCGCGGGGCACTGTTTGAGCCACTGAGGATTCTTCCGTGAGCAGAACAGATGAGGGCCCTTGTCCCCTTGGTGCTGGTAGTTGAAAGATGGAGATGGGTAGGAGCAAGAGCAGAAGGAGGTGGATGTGGCAGGTGGTGATGAGGGCTGCAGAGCCAAGCACAGCAGCTACGGGGTGGGCAGGGTCACCACTTCAGATGGGGAGGGCAAGCTGAGTGAGCAGCCTGTGGGTAAGGACCTGAAAAACGTGAGAGAGGCTGTGGGGTTAACTAGGGAAGAGGAGCCCACACATGCACACAGGGCATGTGGAAAGGACCTGGGCAGGGCAGACTATGTGCTAGAGGAACGTCTGGAGGCCTGTGTGTAGCTACAGCAGTAATGGTGGAAGTAATGAGAACTGAGAGCAAAACAGGAGCCCCACGCACGGCCGCTGTCCAATCTCAGCCTCCCCTCCCGGCACGGCTGCTGTCCAGTGTCGGCCTCCCCTCCCAGCACGGCCGCTGTCCAATCTCAGCCTCCCCTCCCAGCATGGCCGCTGTCCACTGTCGGCCTCCCCTCCCAGTGAGACCAGTGCTGCCAGGGGGTCTTCAGGAGAGAAGTGGCCGGATCTGACTCATGTTCTCTCTCCTCTGTTTTTTTTTTTTTGAGACAGGGTCTTGCTCTGTCACCCAGGAGGTTGGAATGCAGTGGTGCGATCCCGGCTCAGTGTAGCTTCAACCTCCTGGGCTCAGTCCATCCTCCCGCCTCAGCCTCCCTAGTAGCAGGGACCACAGGCACACGCCTCCATGCCTGGCTAATTTTTTTTCCTTTATTTTTTGTAGAGATGGGGTCTTGCTATGATGGCCAGGCTGGCCTTGAACTCCTGGCCACAAGTGATCCTCCCACCTCAGCCTCCCAAAGTGCTGGGGTTACAGGCATGAGCCATGGCACAGAGCCTGACTCATGTTTTCCCAGGGACTCCCAACTAGGGTGGGTGTGGAGGTTGGACCAAGGGATGTGGGAGGACCTTAGCAACACCAGTGAGGAGGGGATGGCACTAATCCTGCCAGAGATACCGGCCTGGACCAGGTCGGTGACAGTGGCCGCAGGGAGAAGGGCTAGGGTTCCAAGTGTGTTCTGGGGATGTCTGAGAGGCAGAGCTGACAGACAAGCTATAGGTGTACAGGAAAGGCTCCAGGGCTGGCTCCAAGGTTTTGGCCTGGGCCATGGTCAGGAAGGGTGGCATTGCCACTAACCAAGAGGGACACTGGTGCCAGCAGTGTCTGAGCAGTGGGGGAGGGGCCGGTGACGCTGGAGACGCCTTTGCTTGCCAGGAGAAACCCCTGGCTGGAGAAAGGTGGGGGTGGGATTCCTGTACAGCTAATATTAGTAATCGCCACGCACCAAGTCCTGACTTGTGCCAGGCCCTGCACGCTTTATGTCTGGAAATGCTCTCACACCTCTGGGAGGCCCTGTTAGCACCCGCGGCTCCAGCTCAGGGAGGGCGCCGGCGGCCAAGGCCACAGGCTGGTGAGTGGCAAAGCAGAGATTCGAATTCACAGCTGTCTGGCTCCCTCGGCCAGCCTCGTGGGTCCTCAGGGGACCTGCGCCCTGCGTCCAGTGGCTGGGACCGAGGCCGGGGCAGCGGGGGCTGCTGTGGGTCACTGTGTAAGCCCTGCAGCCAGCCCTGTGCCTCGACTCCCTCAACTCCCCTGCCCTCAGCTCCCGCCCCCACCCCGTCCTGGGCCTGGACAAAGGGGCTTCTGTCCTGCCAGCTCCCCTCTCAGAGTGACTGACCCACAAATGGGTTATGTAACCACGGCCCAGATAGGCGGGGGTTTGGCCCAAGTCTGCTTGGACTAGTGCCCACTGGGAGGGCATCGGTGGGCTTCCCTCCTCTGGCAGCCAGCTGGGGGAGGCCAGGATGCGGGGGGCCCCAGGAGGATACTGGGGCCCTGAAGGCAGGGCATGGGCCCCTCTGGCCTCAGGTGCTCCGAGTCGCTGGGGAGGAGGCGGCCGTTCGCGTGAGGTCGCTCAGAGGTGCCAGCCCACTCGCCCGCCTCCCACTTCTGCTCATCCACACTGGCTGTGGCCCAGGGCTGGCAGTGGGGGTGCTGCACGGTGGAGACGCAGATCCTCCCCCAGAGATACCCCCATTTCCGGGTGTTCCAGCCTCCCTGGCCACCCCCGGCCCCATCTGGATCCTTCTGAGAGACAGATTGGGCCGGCTCTCTCCCTCCCACATTGGCAGGTGCCCAGCCAGTGTCCCAAGGGAGGGGTGTGCATGCACATGTGTGTGCTGGTGTGGGTGCACAGCCTTGCCTCCTATCCCCAGGTGGGGACAAGGACCCCAGGCCGGAGTCCTCAGTACTGTGAACCCCCACATCTTGGCAATGGGACACCAAGTCCTGAGCAGCTGGCACCTGGGGCGGGGTGTGGGGCAGAGCTGAACGCATGAGTGCACGAGTGGACGAGTGAGTGTCTGCAGACTGAGAGCCCAGCAGCTTTGTGCCTGCCGGGGAGATGGCTGGCACCCTCTCCCTGCCCTCAGGCCACCTGGAGGGGCTGGCACAGCCTCCCCTCACCAAGTCTCCTTCCATCCCCAGAGCTCCTGGGCTCCACCAAGAAGATCAATGTTAACTTCCAGGACCCAGATGGGTGAGTTCTGAGCCAGGCGGTTCCCGCCTGGAAGGGAGGATGGCTCCTAGGGAGGGCAGGGTGCCCGAGGCGCCGGGGCCTCTGCTCTATGTGTCCTCTGCCCATGCTAGCTTCTCGGCTTTGCACCACGCGGCCCTGAATGGCAACACGGAATTGATCAGCCTGCTGCTGGAGGCCCAGGCTGCTGTGGACATCAAGGACAACAAAGGCAAGACTGGCCCAGGGGCCTCCAGTGGGGGCAGGGGTAGGGGAAGTGAGGGGGGCTCCCTGGGGCCTGCATGGGTCCTTGGCTGAGGTCTCAGCCCAGGGTCTTAGTCTGATTTCAGGCAGGTCCTCCTGGGATCAGGGTCCTGGAAGCCAGGGGTGGGCTTGGAGTCAGGGGTCAGCTCCCAGCAACCCCCAAACCCACAGGGTTAGCCTCAGGGGTCAAAGGTCAGCTCCCAGCATTCCCCCCACCTCCCAGAGTTGGGCTTGGGGTCAGGGGTCGGCTCCTAGCACCCTCCCACCCCCTAAGGTTGGCCTTGGGGTCAGGGGTCAGGTCCCAGCACTCCCCTATCCCCCAGGTTGGGCTTGGGGTCAGTGGTCAGCTCCCAGCATCCCCTACGCCCTAGGGTTGGGCTTGGGGTCAGGGGTCAGGTCCCAGCAGCCCCTATCCTGCAGAGTTGGGTTTGGGGTCAAAGGTCAGCTTTCAGCATCCCCCCACCCCCCAGGCATGCGGCCGCTGCACTATGCGGCCTGGCAGGGCCGGAAGGAGCCCATGAAGCTGGTGCTGAAGGCGGGCTCGTCCGTGAACATCCCATCTGATGAGGGCCACATCCCCCTGCACCTGGCAGCCCAGCACGGTCACTATGATGTGGTGAGGCCCGAGCAGGGGCGGGGGCAGAGGCGGGGCAGCCCGGGCAGGGCAGCGTGGCCTGAGGATGTGCGGGCCTGACTGCGCCCTTGGCCCGCAGTCTGAGATGCTGCTACAGCACCAGTCTAACCCGTGCATGGTGGACAACTCGGGGAAGACGCCCCTGGACCTGGCCTGCGAGTTCGGCCGCGTTGGGGTGAGTCTCCCATGGAGCTCCGTGGGGTGGGGCTGGGGAGCCCCACATCAGGGCCCCCCTACCCTAACCCCTCCTTCAAGGTGGTCCAGCTGCTTCTCAGCAGCAACATGTGTGCGGCGCTGCTGGAGCCCCGGCCGGGAGATGCCACCGACCCCAACGGCACCAGCCCTTTGCACCTCGCAGCCAAGAATGGCCACATCGACATCATCAGGTAGAGCCGGTGGCAGGGAGGGCCTCAGCCTTAGGGTCCCCAGGGTTCAGCAGCAGCCTGGGGCTCAGGGCACCAGCTTCTGGCTTGGGGATAGGGCAAGAGCAGGCAGGGTCCCAGGTCCCTGGTCAGGCCTCTGGCATGGCCTCCAGGGTCCATGTACAGTATGAGCTGGAGGGGCTGGGAAAGGGGCTTCTGTGACTTCTCTGTCCCGGTCCCGTTGCTCCTGGGTGCGCTCGAGGAGGTGCTGAACTTCCCTGAGCCTCACTTTCCCATCCAAAAGTGGGGCTCACAGCAGCGCCTACGCTAGCATCAGACAAGATAACAGCTGGGAAGTCTTAGCACAGGGAGGGCCCTTCAGCAGCACTCACTGTGGGCCGGGCGCGGCGGCTGACACCTGTGATCCCAGCACTTTGGGAGGCCAAGGAGGGAGGATTGCTTGAGGTTGGGAGTTCACAAAAAAAAAAAAAAAAAATTAGCCACATGTGTTGGCAGACACTTGTAGACCCAGCTACTGGGAAGCTGAGGCAGGAGAATCACTTGAGCCCGTGAGGCTGAGGCTGCAGTGAGTGGTGACTGTGCCATTGCACTCCAGCCTGGGTGACAGAGCAAGACCCTGTCTCAAAAAATGCAGTGCATTGCACTGCAGCCTGGGTGTGGTGATGCACACCTGTAGTCCCAGCTGCTTGAGAGGCTGAGGTGGGAGGATTGCCTGAGCCTGGGAGGTCGAGGCTACGGTGAGCCAGGGTGGTGCCATTGCATTCCAGCCTGGGTGACAGAGAGAGACCCCATCTCTACTTTTTTTAAAAAGTGACTGAGTGTGGTGGTTCAAAATGCTGCAATCCCAGCATTTTGGGAGACTGACGCAGGAGCCCAGGAGTTTGAGACCAGCCTGGGCAACATAGCAAGACCTGGTTTTTACAAAAAATAAAGGCAAAAACAAACAAACAAAAAAGCTGGAAATGAACATGCATGTCTGTAATCCCAGCTACTCTGGAGGCTGAGGCAGGAGGATTGCTTGAGGCCAGGAGTTTGAGGCTGCAGTAAGCCATGACTGCACCACTGTACTCTAGCCTGGGTGACAGAGTGAGACCCTGTCTTAGAAAAAGCAGACCGGACTCAATGGCTCACGCCTGTAATCCCAGCACTTTGGGCGGCCGAGGCGGGTGAATCACCTGAGGTCAGAAGTTTGTGTCCAACTTGGCCAAAATGGTGGAAACCCCATCTCTACTAAAAATACAAAATTAGCTGGGCGTGGTGGCAGGTGCCTGTAATCCCAGCTACTCCAGAGGCTGAGGCAGGAGAATCGCTTGAACCCAGGAGGTGGAGGTTGCAGTGAACCGAGATCGCACCATGGCATTCCAGCCTGGTCAACAAGGGTGAAACTCCATCTCAAAAAAAAAAAAAACCGTACAAGAAAAAGCGCTCAACACTCAGTGAATGTCAGAGACACGGGGCAGGGCTAGACGGTCCTCAGCCCCCAACCAGACTGCTGGGGTACCTGGAAATGGAGGCCTGGCTTGGGGGTGCTGGGAGGCCTCCTGCTGGAAGGCCCCGCCTGTCCACCTTGCCTTCCCGCCAGGCTCCTCCTCCAAGCCGGCATCGACATTAACCGCCAGACCAAGTCCGGCACGGCCCTGCACGAGGCTGCGCTCTGCGGGAAGACAGAGGTGGTGCGGCTGCTGCTGGATGTGAGTGTGGGGGCCAGGGGTGCTGGGCCCAGTGGGCTGTAGGGGCTCCTGACAGGGCCTCACCTCTCACATGTGCAGAGCGGGATCAATGCCCACGTGAGGAACACCTACAGCCAGACAGCCCTGGACATCGTGCACCAGTTCACCACGTCCCAGGCCAGCAGAGAGATCAAGCAGCTGTTGCGAGGTGGGCCCAGGCAGGGCAGAGGGGCAGTGGCTGGGGCTGGGGCTGGGCCAGATCAGCCCGCAGGACTTGGGGGGCCCCCTCCTGTATCCCCAGAGGCCTCGGCGGCCCTGCAGGTCCGGGCGACCAAGGATTATTGCAACAATTACGACCTGACCAGCCTCAATGTGAAGGCGGGGGACATCATCACAGTAAGCATGGCCTCAGGGGCTGTCTCGGCAGGGAGAGGGCGGCACCTGGGCGTGTGCACCCCAGAACACCGCCGTCCTGCCGCAACTGGGGGGCACTGGGCAGGAGACTGCGAAATGGGGCATCTCCCTGAGCGCCCCCCACCTTACTGGTCAGGTCCTTGAGCAGCATCCGGATGGCCGGTGGAAGGGCTGTATCCATGACAACCGGACGGGTAATGACCGGGTGGGTTACTTCCCGTCCTCCTTGGGCGAGGCCATCGTCAAGCGTGCAGGCAAGTTCCACCCCACCGTGGGGGGCAGGCAGGAGCCACGCACCTTGGGCTTGGGGGCTGGAAGCAGCGAGCATGCTAAGCGTGTGGGGGCCCAGCAGGGCTGGGTTTCTGGGTGCCAGCGTGGGGTTGAGTGGGGAGCATCAGGGTGCCCCAGCAGCCGTCTCCTCATCCGTTCCCAACCTGTTCCTTTGTGCGTTCCACCAAGCACTGTGTGCTGCCACGTCTGGTTCTGAACTGGCCACCAGGACAGATGGGACCTAACTCCCAAGGAGCTCGCCCTGGGGCAGGAGGGGGCAGGGGACGGTGAAGTAAACATGAAAGGACATGTACTTACCAGTGACCCGGAGCACAGGGAGGGCCTGCTTGAGATGAGGCAGTCAGAGGAGGCCAGAGAATGCCCTGAGAGGCTGGTGGGTTCCAGGTGGCAGGAGCTGTGCATTAAAAGGGGGCGGGGCCAGGCGTGGTGGCTCACGCTTGTCATCCCAGCACTTTGGGAGGCCAAGGCGAGAGGACTGTTTGAGCCCGGGAGTTCGAGATCAGCCTGGACAACATAGTGAGATTCCATCTCTACAAAACATAAAATCAGCCAAGCATGGTGGTGTGCACCTATGGCCCCAGCGACTTGGGAGGCTGAGGTGGGAGGGTTGCTTGAGCCTGGGAAGTGGAGGCTACAGTGAGCCAAGATTGCACCAGCCTGAGGGACAGCGCGAGACTCTGTCTCAAAATAATAATGATAACAACAAAGGCACTCAAGTGTCTGCTTTTGGTGAAGAAAAAAGGGAAAAACCAAAGGCGCTGAGGCAGGCAAGAGCTGGGCACACCTGAGGAACAGGAGGCTGAGGAGAGGGACTAGGCCAGGGACCCAGGCTGTGAAGCCCCACGTGGCGGCTCTGAGGGACCAGGGGCCCGTTTACTCCTGATGGAGGACATGGAGGTGCACAAGCAGGGCCAGCCCCCCGTCACGGCCATCTAGCTCCTGAGTGGGAGCCTTGGCTCCAGCTTGTGGGGGTCTTCTTGCCTGCCCCCCACTCCCCAGTACAGAGATGTTCACACCATCCAGCAGTCTCTGGCCCCCTGCCCCCAGGACCCCAGGGCCACCAGCAGGATGCCTAGGCTTGGCTGCCTCTGCCTCTCTCCTGCTCTAAACGTCTGGCGGGGGAGGGGTCTTCCTCGGGGCTCTCAGCTCCCTGGAGACAACAGCAGGCAGAGAGGACCCCCCTGCTGTGGCTGCCCGGCCTCTGCCCCGCCTCCCCTGTGTCAGCACCCGCCCTCGCTGGCCCAGGTCTCAGGAGGCTGTGCTCGACCTACAGGTTCCCGAGCAGGCACTGAGCCAAGCCTGCCGCAGGGAAGCAGCTCATTGGGACCTTCTGCACCCCCAGAGGAGATCTGGGTGCTGAGGAAGCCTTTTGCAGGTAAGCTGGGTCCCTGAAGGGCAGAGGTGGCAGGACTTCCACAAGGCACCACTGTGGGGCCAGGCAGGGGCCAGCACTGGCCTCATCTTGCTCTCTCACGCTGGCAGGTGGGGACCGAAGCGGCAGCATTAGCGGCGTGGCTGGTAGCCGGGGCAGTGGGGGCCACACCCTACACGCGGGCTCTGAGGGTATCAAGGTAGGTGGGGTGGTGGTCGGGGCTAGGTTGGCCAGGGCTGGGAGCAGGCGACAAGCCGGTGTTTCTGGGTTGCAGCTCCTGGCAACGGTGCTTTCCCAGAAGTCCGTCTCCGAGTCCAGCCCAGGGGACAGCCCCGCCAAGCCTCCAGAAGGCTCTGCAGGTAAGAGCAAGGATGCTGCCGCACAGCCCGACAGAGGAAAGCAGCCCGACAGCTCTTGTCCCCCACCCACTCTCGTCCTCAGGTGCAGCCCGGTCCCAGCCTCCAGTGGCCCATGCCGGGCAGATCTATGGGGAGCAGCCGCCCAAGAAGCTGGAGCCAGCATCGGAGGGCAAGGTACAGGGCTTGGGGGTGCTCCCAGTGTGGGCTCCGGGGAGAGGCTAAGCGTGTGGGGGCCCAGCAGGGCTGGGTTTCTGGGTGCCAGCGTGGGGTTGAGTGGGGAGCATCAGGGTAAGGCCGATGGGCTGACGGGTGCCTACACAGCCTGCCTGGCCTGGCTGCGGTGGGATCGGGGGCATTGCCAGGCCAGACCCTCTCCTCTCCTCTGTCTGTCAGTCTGTGTGTGTTGTGTGTGTCTGCCTGCGTGTATGGGTGTCGTCGTTGTGCAGGCTGTGCGTGTGGGCCAACCTGTGCCTCCATGTGTGCATGTGTGTGTGCAGGGTGTGTGTGTGATGGTGTGACTGCGAGCCGGACACGCGTGTCTGTGTACAGGTGGAAGGGGCTGGGTATGAGACGGTGCAGTGTGTGCGTGGGCGCGGCGTGTGGTGTGTGAGTGCGCCTGCGTGCTGGGGAGGTGTAAGCTGCTGGCTGAGTCCTGCACAGTGGAGTAGGCAAGGTGCCCCTGCCTGTGGGCACAGAGCCTACCTTCCGGTCCAGACTGAGGCCCCTTTCCTGGAGCCCCCTCCCAAGGGGCCACACCACCTGCCTCCCCAAGATGGCGCGGGGCGTCCCTGGTGCAAGAGCAGGGGACAGTCAGGGAGGCATGTGGCGGGCAGCAGCAGCCCCCCCGCCCCCCCAGTGGAGATCCCAGAAGGCAGAAGGGTGGAGGATGCTCCAGGAGGCGCCTCAGGGACTGTGGACTGAGGATCATTCACAGGCGAGGCTCACCGGGGCCTGCTGCAGATGGAGCAGCGGACAGCGGACACAGCAGCTGCACGGCTGGCCGGCCAAGCAGAGAAGGAGGTGCTGTGGTGGCAGGGCACAGCCAGGCAGGCGAGCCTGCAGTGGGTGCCTTGTGTCTTCCAGAGCGCCGAGGCCGTGAGCCAATGGCTCACTGCGTTCCAGCTGCAGCTCTATGCCCCCAACTTCATCAGCGCTGGCTACGACCTGCCCACCATCAGCCGCATGACCCCTGAGGTGAGCTTTCCACACGCCGCCGGTGCCAGCTGCGTCCCACAGACGGGCACAGCCCCCAGCTGACAACCCTCCCCTCTGCCTAGGACCTCACGGCCATTGGTGTCACCAAGCCGGGCCACCGGAAGAAGATCGCGGCAGAGATCAGCGGCCTAAGCATCCCCGACTGGCTGCCTGAGCACAAACCCGTAAGGCCACCTGCACCCCAGGGGCTGGGCCCAGGACGGGCAGACAGACAGACAGAGAGCCTGCCTCCCTGGCCACAGCCCCCACCCACCCTCAGGGTCTTGAGGGAGAGGAGAGTGAAGGATGTCCTGCTAGCAGGGAGCCTCCCAGTCAGCCCCTGTTCTGTCACTGGGGCAGAGGCGAGGTGATGCTGTCCAGGGGCCATCGGAGCTGAGGGAGCCTGAAGCCAGGAGAGTCCCCTCCCCACGTCCATGCTCTCACCAGGACTCTGCACATGCAAGCTGCCCCACAGAGACCCCCAGCCACCAGGCCTCCAAGCACTGCCACTCACATGCAGACTGCAGGGGCTATGCTCACACACACCCAGGCACGTGCCAGCCCCTGCACAGCAGGCGTGCATGGAATACCCTGCAGGCACCCACCAACTTCGTGCGTGCACACGCGCTCTACCGCACGTGTGGCCCTCACCAATAGCTGACACCCCATTTTCGGCGATACTTGCACGTGCCATGGCCAGTGGTCATTAACAGGGAGGTGCAGATGGGTGTGGTGGTCAAGCCTGTAATCCCAGCACTTTGGGAGGCCAAGGAGGGTAGATCACAAGGTCAAGAGATCGCGACCATCCTGGCTAACATGGTGAAACCCCGTCTCTACTAAAAATACCAAAATTTGGCCATGCGTGGTGGCGGGCGCCTGTAGTCCCAGCTCCTTGGGAGGCTGAGGCAGGAGAATGGCGTAAACCCGGGAGGTGGAGCTTGCAGTGAGCCAAGATCGTGCCACTGCACTCCAGCCTGGGCAACAGAGCGAGACTCCGTCTCAAAAAACAAAACAAAAAGGGAGGTGCCTGTGCCGTGGGACGGTTCTGGGCCTGAAGAAGGTGGGCCCAGGCCTAGCCCAACCCAAGTGGACTCTTTGGGTCTCACACTGAGTTCTGGGCTCCCAGTGGGAGAGGCGATTGGTGGCTGTCAAGAGCCACCTGGCGTGTGGGTCTGCACTCACCCTGCCTTGCCCCACTCAATTGGTGGCTCTGGGGTCCTCCTGGGGGTCAGGTTCGGGTCCCACGGACCTTGCCGCCCACCTGGGGGTGGCTGAGTATGCCAAGAGCAGGTGCATGAGTGAATTCTAGCTGGGAGTGTGGACGCCTGGATGCCGCTCGGGGAGTGATCGGGTGTTTCTCGGTGCAGACCGATGTGGTTGTTGGCACGTGTGTGTGTTGTGGCTGTGTGGCATGTGTGTGGCCCTGTGTCTGGTGTGGGTGAGAGGTCAGCGTGTGACACGGGATGGGGTGCTGGTGCCTGTGCTTGGCTGGGAGCGCAGCGTGCAAGTCCTATGCATGTTCCTGTACCAGGTGTGGCCCCGTGTGTCTGTGTCCACGACTCTGGGGTGTGTTTGTGTCTCCCCATGGTGCTGTACTTGTGGCTGCCTGGCCGGGTGGGAAAGTGCCTTCTTCTGCTCCCCCCGACAAGGGCGTCCTATGGACGCGGTCAGCCGTGTGCGTTCACATGTGCTCGATGTGTGGCATGCGGTGTCCGCTGCCTGAGCCGAGGCTCTGCCTACATTTCTGGTGCCAACACCTTGGCCTATCCGTTTGTCCTTCTGTCTGTCTGTGCCCTGCTGGCCCCGTGCCCCCTCTTCCTCCAGCTCCAGGTAGATGGGCAGGGTGCGGGCAGCCAGCCCAGGTGGCCCCTCTGTGTCTCTGCTCTGTAGGCTAACCTGGCCGTGTGGCTGTCCATGATCGGCCTGGCCCAGTACTACAAGGTGTTGGTGGACAATGGCTATGAGAACATCGATTTCATCACTGATATCACCTGGGAAGACCTGCAGGAGATCGGCATCACCAAGCTGGGTGAGGCCCCAGCCCCAGCCCCAGCTTCCAGCCCCTGCCCTCAGCTTCCAGCCCCAGCCCCAGGCTCAGCCCCAGCCCCAGCCCCAGCCCCCAGCCCCCAGCCCAGCCCTGCCCCAGCCCAGCCCCCGCCCTGCACTTCCTGGTCCACCTGACCTGCCCCCTGCGCCCCACTCAGGACACCAGAAGAAGCTGATGCTGGCTGTGAGGAAGCTGGCAGAGCTGCAGAAGGCTGAATATGCCAAGTATGAGGGAGGCCCCCTGCGCCGGAAGGCGCCCCAGTCACTTGAAGTGATGGCCATTGAGTCTCCGCCCCCGCCTGAGCCCACACCGGCCGACTGCCAGTCCCCTAAAATGACCACCTTCCAGGACAGCGAGCTCAGTGATGAGCTGCAGGCTGCCATGACTGGCCCAGCTGAGGTGGGGACCACCGCTGAGAAGCCCTCCAGCCATCTGCCACCCACCCCGAGGGCCACCACACGGCAGGAGTCCAGCCTGAGTGGTCGGGCACGGCACATGAGCAGCTCACAGGAGCTGCTGGGTGACGGGCCCCCTGGGCCCAGCAGCCCCATGTCTCGAAGCCAGGAGTACCTGCTGGATGAAGGCCCGGCTCCCGGGACCCCGCCCAAGGAGGCCAGGCCAGGCCGCCACGGTCACAGTGTCAAGAGGGCCAGTGTGCCCCCTGTGCCTGGCAAGCCACGGCAGGTCCTCCCACCAGGCACCAGCCACTTCACGCCCCCCCAGACTCCCACCAAAACCCGACCAGGCTCTCCCCAGGCCCTTGGGGGACCTCATGGTCCATCCCCAGCTACGGCCAAGGTGAAGCCTACCCCGCAGCTGCTGCCGCCAACAGAGCGCCCCATGTCACCCCGCTCCCTGCCTCAGTCACCCACGCACCGTGGCTTTGCCTATGTGCTGCCCCAGCCTGTGGAGGGCGAGGTGGGGCCAGCTGCCCCGGGGCCTGCGCCCCCACCCGTGCCGACTGCTGTGCCCACACTGTGCCTGCCCCCCGAGGCTGACGCAGAGCCGGGGCGGCCCAAGAAGCGAGCCCACAGCCTGAATCGCTACGCAGCATCCGACAGCGAGCCAGAGCGGGATGAGCTGCTGGTGCCTACTGCTGCGGGCCCCTATGCCACGGTCCAGCGGCGCGTGGGCCGCAGCCACTCGGTGAGGGCACCTGCAGGTGCCGACAAGAACGTTAACCGCAGCCAGTCCTTCGCTGTGCGGCCCCGAAAGAAGGGGCCCCCGCCACCCCCGCCCAAGCGCTCCAGCTCGGCCCTGGCCAGTGCCAACCTGGCGGATGAACCGGTGCCGGACGCTGAGCCTGAAGATGGCCTGCTGGGGGTCCGCGCACAGTGCCGGCGGGCCAGTGACCTGGCCGGCAGCGTGGACACGGGCAGTGCCGGCAGTGTGAAGAGCATTGCGGCCATGCTGGAGCTGTCCTCCATTGGGGGTGGGGGCCGGGCTGCCCGCAGGCCTCCCGAGGGCCACCCCACTCCCCGCCCTGCCAGCCCAGAGCCGGGTCGGGTGGCCACCGTGCTGGCCTCAGTGAAACACAAAGAGGCCATCGGGCCTGGCGGGGAGGTGGTGAACCGGCGCCGCACACTCAGCGGGCCAGTCACTGGACTTCTGGCCACTGCCCGCCGGGGGCCTGGGGAGTCGGCAGACCCAGGGCTCTTTGTGGAGGATGGCACTGGCCGGCAGCGGCCTCGGGGTCCCTCCAAGGGCGAGGCAGGTGTTGAGGGCCCGCCCTTAGCCAGGGTGGAGGCCAGCGCCACACTCAAGAGGCGCATCCGGGCCAAGCAGAACCAGCAGGAGAACGTCAAGTTCATCCTGACCGAGTCTGACACGGTGAAGCGCCGGCCCAAGGCCAAGGAGCGGGAGGCCGGGCCTGAGCCACCACCACCACTGTCCGTGTACCAGAATGGCACTGGCACCGTGCGCCGCCGACCGGCCTCGGAGCAGGCTGGGCCTCCGGAGCTGCCCCCACCGCCCCCGCCTGCCGAACCCCCACCCACCGACCTGGCACACCTACCCCCACTACCCCCGCCTGAGGGCGAAGCCCGGAAGCCGGCCAAGCCGCCTGTCTCTCCCAAGCCAGTCCTGACGCAGCCCATGCCCAAGATCCAGGGCTCACCCACACCCACCTCCAAGAAGGTGCCGCTGCCAGGCCCTGGCAGCCCAGGTAGGCGCATGGGGCCAGCCAGGGTGGGGTGAGGGGGCGGCAGGACTCTGCTCCACCTCTCTACTCGGTGGTCTGCGGGGTTTTCCTTTTCTTGGGTTTGATGGAAGTCCAGGTGGGGTGGGAACGTGTCCCCAGACCCTCTCATGCATCCAGGGCAAGGTGAGCAGGGTCCTTCCTGGTCCGCTGGGGAGGCAGTGGCGCGAGTAGGCCGCGGGAGGCCGGGGCAGGGGGCCCGGCGGAGGGGTTCGTGTCCGCTTGGTGCCAGCGTGGTCCTTCCCGCAGAGGTGAAGCGCGCCCACGGCACACCGCCGCCCGTGTCTCCCAAGCCGCCGCCGCCGCCCACGGCGCCCAAGCCCGCCAAGGCGGCCGCGGGGCTGCCTTCGGGCAGCGCTGGCCCTTCGCCCGCACCCTCGCCCGCGCGCCAGCCGCCCGCCGCCCTCGCCAAGCCGCTCGGTACGCCTCCCTCGCTGGGCACCAGCCCCGTCAAGCCCCCGTCCCCCGGCGCGCCCGCGCTGCACGTGCCCGCCAAGCCCCCGCGCGCCGCCGCCGCTGCCGCCGCCGCGACCCCCGCCCCGACCGAAGGCGCCTCGCCCGGGGACAGCGCCCGGCAGAAGCTGGAGGAGACGAGCGCATGCTTGGCCGCGGCGCTGCAGGCGGTGGAGGAGAAAATCCGGCAGGAGGACGCGCAGGGCCCGCGGTAGGTGTGGGCGTGGCCTGGCGGGCGGAGGGCGGGGCTTGGTAGAGATGGGCGTGGCGTGAGCGCGTCTCAGTAGGGACAGGCGCGGCGTCAGCCGGGCTCGGTCGAGGTCATCGTGCGGTAGGCGGAGCCCGACGGAGATGAGGGCTGTGGGCGTGTCCTGACCGAGGTGGGCGTGGCCAGGCCCTAACCCACCCCGCCCGCTCACGCCCCGCGCCCCGCGCCCCGCAGCGACTCGGCGGCAGAAAAGAGCACGGGCAGCATCCTGGACGACATCGGCAGCATGTTCGACGACCTGGCCGACCAGCTGGACGCCATGCTGGAGTGAGCGCCGCCTCGCCGGGCCCGCCTGCGCCGCCCGGGCCCTCCCCGCACACTGACCTATACCTCAGGATGGGCGCGTCTGGGCGCGGCGCGAGCGGCCGGGCAGGGCCCCGCACAAGCACAACTCCGGCCCCTGGGGTCGGGCCGGGGCGCCCACCGGGGACCGCCTGGCCGGGGGCTCCAAGGGCTCTGGGCAGACCCCGCGCCTGCGCGTCCTCCCCATCTGCTGCTCCCCATGCAATACCTGCTGGGCCTCCTGCCTGTGCGGAAGGGGAGGGCGCCCCGGGACCAGGGATGGGGCAGCGCACAGGCCCGGGCCCAGCACAGAACTGCCCATCGGGACGCCCGGTCAGCCGCTCAGGCGCAGCACAAGGGACAGGGGACCAGGGTCAGGGCCCCCCTGCCCCACCGCACCCCCAGAATATAAGCTATCAAGAGTATTAATTTATTGGGAATGAGCTGAGGCGGATTTCCCCAGAGAAACAAAAAGGTATAACTTTAACAAATATATATTTAAAGAAAGAAATATTATTGATTCTATAGAAAACCATTTACCAACTGAAAGGACAAGAGTCTAGCTCCGGACAAAAGCTGTTAAGAGGACCAGGCTGTCTGCCTGCGGTCCTTCCTCCCTCCGGCCAGAGTGGAGGCCCCAGGCCGCTAGCACAGGTGGAAGGCTGGGGCCCCGGGGCGGGTGCTCAGGCGGGGGCTCCTCCGCGCTTCTCTCCTAAGTTCTCTGCGCCCCAAGAACTCGAGGTTGTGCCTTGCTCTTGGCGGCCATGTCCTCCTCCTGGCGTGGCTGTATCGGGGTGCGGGTGGGTGTGGTGAATGTGGGTGTGTCAGTGTGGCGGCCACGTGGAAGCAGGGCACGTAGCAGGCCAGGCCAGGGACTTGCAGCTCCTCTGAGGGCGTGCCTGGCCTCCTCTGGGGCCTGTGCAGGCAGCCTGTCCACCCCGCCGGAGTTCCCACGGACGCTTCTGCTCATGGTCCAAGGCTGTGTCGTGTGGTCATTCTCACCCTCCCTTTTCCTCTCTCTGTCCCTGCTCCCTCCAAGAAGTACTGACTGGTCTCTATCGTGTTTGCTGATCCACAGTGTTGGGCACAACTTTGACGTTTCTTAAAAAAAAAATTTTAAAAATGCCGAAAACCAGCGATTGTGGTGTGGGGCGGGCGGAGGCGGCTGGCGGAGGTGGCGTCCGTGCGTGCAGGGCCCCTTCCCGCTGTCTCACCCCGTGCTTCCCTGTAAGTGGACGTGCCCAGCTGTCCCCCCAGGCCTCTCCTCAGTGGGCGGCCCAGGCTGGGCTCCAGCAGGCAGGGAGGGGAGGTTTGGGCAAGGCGCTGCTGTTGGCTGTCAATAAACAGCAGGAAACAGAAGTGCCTGGCTCACTTTTTGGGGGCACATGTGTTGGGGGAGATGGGTCTGAAGGTCAGCAGCTCGGGTGTGACAAGTTGCCTCCTAGCAGGGAGGCCCCAGAGTGGGCTGAAGTCCTGGGGTCCACCAGAGAGAACCGCCCCATGCCCCCCCACTCACAGCAGCCAGTGCCTATGCACACCAACCTCAAGGCCACACAGCCCCCTTGTCCCGAGGAGCTGTCCCCACTCACAGCTACAGTCTGTGGAGTGTTTATTTCCACCAGGAAGTAACCAAATCTACACACAGTCTAAAAACAGTAGAAAAGGTGAGTAAAAAGGCCCTCGCTCCATCTAGGGTGGGGATGGAGGGTGGGCCGGGGCAAGCGTCGTACCTGGCACCCAGAGAGAGGGGCTGGGCAGCGACGATAGTGCCGAGCAGAGGGAGGCTCGCCGAGCATTGGGCAGGGAGGGCACTGCCCGGTTGCCAAAGCCTGTCCACCTGTGCCCATAGGGCAGGCAGAACCCCCGAGACCACCCCATGTGGCCAGCCTGGCTCAGACAGGTCCAGGGCTGGTCCAGGGGAAGCCACGGCCTGGCCTGGATCCTGTTAGCAAGTCCAAACCTGCAGAGAAAGGGCTGCTTCACCAAGGTGTCCTGTGGCCAGCCACCCTGGCCCAGCCACACCTGTCACATATACCTACCCTCCACCACCTCGTGCTGGGGCTGCCAGCTCCTCATTCCCACCCCCGCTCCATCCCGTGCAGCCCTTTTGAATGGCCCGAGCCATGGACACTGACCTTCACAGTGCTATCCACAGCCCCTGAGAAGAGTCGGCCCCGGGACACGGCCAGCGCGGTGACGCTGCCCTGGTGACGCAGCAGGGTCTGCGTGCAGATCATGTTGTCCATACTCCAGACCTGGGGGCACATGGGACGTGAGGGCCCGCTGGAGCTCAGCTGCCCGCCCTCTGAGCCTCCTGCCACCGCTGGGCCCGCACGTACCCTGAGGGACCGGTCGTAGGATGCACTGAAGACTTTGGTCTGGTCTGGTGTCGAGATGACCGCCAGGGCATACACAGTGCCCACATGGCCTGTGAGGGTCCGCACCTGCTCCTTGGACTCAATGTCCCACACCTGGGAGGGGTGGGCACAGACAGGTCAAAGACACTGAGCGAGGCAGGGGAGATGGGGCCACAGTCTGGCCCTGCACCAAGACGCCCAAGCCTTACGTGGATGAGGTTCTCGTAGGTGCCACAGACAATGTGGTGATTTGTCACAGCAATGGAGTAGACGCTGCCGCCAGACGTCTGCAGGACGTGGATGCAGTCGAGGGTTCGGATGTCCCAGATCTATGAGTAATCGTGGGCAACTTGGTCCCAGGCCAGGTGCTTCACCCCCAGGGCCCCTGCACCCCCAGGACTTCAGCACCACTGGGCAGCCCACCCACCCAGCCAGGGCATGTGTGAAGGTAGGAACAGGGCAGATGGAGCCCTGGGTGCTGGTCTGGGAAGTGCTGGTAGGGGACAAGGCCCTGTGGCCACCAGGTGTACCCAGGTGCACCTTGATTGTCTGGTAGGAGCCGCTGTATAGGTAGCTCTGGGCAGCCACCAGGGCCCGCACCCAGTGGTTGAGGCCTGTGAGCTCCTTCTTCAACTTCAGCTCAGTGCCCACGATGTCCCAGACCTGCAGGGATGGCTACAATTGTGGGCTGGGCGGGCGAGGGACACCTCAGTGACTCACACGCACGGGCACACCTTCCACCTGTACCTTGATGGCCTTCAGGGAGCCGCTGAAGAGCATGTTGTGTGAGGAGACCAGTGTGCACACCGGGTTGTCGTGGGCCCGGATGGTGTTCACCTTCTGCAGGTTCTGGATGTCCCACACCTGATTGGGGAAGGACCGGAAGCCTCAGGGCACCAAGCCCTGTCACCTGAAGTCTGGAGTCCGGAGCCCAGATGGGGAGAAACATGTCCCTGGGGCACCTACATACTGAGGCAGGCCTGGGCTGCCTCCTGCCCACCCGCCTGTAGGCCCCACTCACAATGATGGTGCAGTCTGCAGAGCCGCTGTAGAGTTTGCACCTGGGGAAGCAGAGACATTGTGTCAAGGTGGGAGAAGCTGTGTCCCTGCTGACACCACCCTGGCAGGGCCCGAGGTCCATGCCAACCATCAGGAACTAGCAGCGTGGCCCAGGGCCAAGGCCACTGCTGTGTCCCTAAGCTCCAGCCTATTTTCCAGTCTCCACACGGGAACCTTGGAAGGGGTGAGCCAGCCTGATGCCTGCCTGGAAAGCATTTGACAGCGAGCTGGGAGGTAATTACCCGCCCCTTAGCACTGAGTCAATCCCAGGGCCGGCTGCTGGCAGTCAAGCTGCCGCCTCCTGAAAGCGAGCATCTCTCACGCACACACTTACATGCTTACACGCTTGCTCCCACAAAGCCTCACAACAGGAGGCACGAGGCAGGTAGGCCACCTGGAGCAAGAAGGTGGCCAAGGTAGTTGCTCCGTGGTCCCTATGCCCTGGGCTCTGACTGCAGGCTGAGGAGAGCTGAGCTCCTGCCTTCACTCCCTAAGGTCCCCCCATCTTCTGGTTGCACAAGGAGCACCGGGGCCAGGACAAGGTTCTGCTGGGAGGCTGGCAATGCCAATTGCTGGGAACACACAACTTCAGAGATGGTGCAGGCCACACAAGGGCCCACACACTGCTACCCAGGGAGCCAGTGCTGCTCTGGGTGGAGGGCGCCCTACAGGTGGGACACACACATAGCTACACAAGGCTTGAGCTCATGGCTCACGGCCCACGGAGTAGCAGCACCACATCTCCTGACCCGGGAATCACTGGTCACACACATGCCTGGACTCACCCCTGGATGCAGAGAGCCAGCACGATGCCATCATGGCCCTCCAGTGTCTTCTGGCACTTGTAGGTGGTACATGTATCCCACACCTGCAGAGACCAGGGCCACAGTGGGTCCCAGCAAGGTCAGCCCAGTGCCAAGGGGCAGCATGACAGGAATGAGTAAGGGAGCCCTGCCCATGGGAGAAAGCCCTGCCTATGGGAGAAAGCCCTGCCCAGGAGAAGGTCCCACCCATAGGCAGGTTGGCAGTGCCAGGCATGCAGTAGTGCCCAACCCATCCAGGCTGCGGAGACTGAGGTAGGACTCCACCTACCTTGATGGTCTTGTCAGAGGAGCCACTGAAGAGCAGGTCACCCATGGAGTAGACGCAGAGACACCACACAGGGCCCTGGTGGCCTACAAAGGTCCCTTTGCATTTGAAGATCTGCTGAGGGTCATAGGCTGCAGAGACGGGAGCAGTGAGTGAGGGCCCCGTAGGGGTCCACGGGGAGGGCAGGTGGGAGCCGCGGCGGGCCCATACTCACAGCCTAGGATGCCCATGTTCAGCCGCGCGTTGATGTGGGACAGCTCGTCCTGCAGGGCCAAGGGCAGGGCAGAGGGCAGGTGGGCAGGGCTGCTGTGGGGCCAGTGCAGCCTCTCTGCCCCTGCTGCCCTGGGCCAGGGGTGAGCAGGGACGACAGGAGCCCCTGCCACACACAGACCCCTGATCTTGACTAGTGGAGCCAAGGCCAGGGGAGGCCTCCCTGCCAGCTTCCCTGGGTCTCACAACCCAGCCCCTGCAGCCCCGCCCACTCACATTTAACATGGATGCGTCCCGCCGGAACTCCATGAGGTCCTCGCTAAGCTTGCTCTGGTTTTCATCCAGGACGTCTGAGGAGCAGGAGGAGAGGGGGTGTCACTGGTGCCCGGAGCAGTGGCCAGGCCCCCACCTGCCCCAGTGCCCACCCTCACCAAACTTGAGCTCCAGGCTCTTCTCTAGCTGGTCAATCTTCTCTGAGAGCTTGCCCAGCATGGAGCGCAGGAAGGCGATCTCCTGGTCCTTCTGGGCCAGCGCCACGTGCATCTCGTGGAAGCGGTCGTCCGTCTGCTGCAGAAACTCCTTCAGGCCCTCGAAGCGGCAAGTCTCCAGGTGGGTCTCATAAGTATCCTGGTTCCCGATGAACGTGCACCTGCGGGGACAGGACAGCTGCCCACCTGCCTACCTGGTGGGTCCCTGCTGGTGCCTCCCTATCCCCAAGAATCCCCTTCGAGTGCTCCAGCCCTGTGGCCACTGCACCCCAGGTCCAGCTGCCCCTCCTCCCCACCCAGCTACCCCTGGGCAGCTTCACAAGTGAGGTCCCATCACATCACCCCTGCAGAGCTATTTAAGGGTTCCTCACTCCCTGAGGATAAAACCCACGCCCCTCGGCAGCCTCCCTGCTCTGAAGAACTGGGCTCCTGCCTCTCCTCCCACCCCCACCTCCCTCTCCAGAGCTCTCAACCCCAGCATTTGTTCAACTCCGCCCATGCCTGGTGGGCTGCCGGAGCATCCATGCCCACCTTCCTGGCCGCCCTCAGCTCCTCCTCTGTGTTTCCAGGGCCTTGGGCCTCTCCTGGGCTCCTGGGCCTCAGAGAGGATTACAGACCCTGGTGTGGTCCCAGCTCCGACCCACCTCCCCAGGACCAGCAAGCAGGCGGTTCTTAGCGGAGCCTGTGGAGGGACTGCGTCCACCCCCGCCCGCCCCCCACTCACCCGTACTTGGAGTGGGGACATTTGATGTGCTCACACTCCTTGAGGTGGGCCTCCAGGTTCATCTTGAGCAGTGGGGGGCAGCTGGGGTTGTTGGGGCACCGCACAGGCCTGTAGTCACAGCTGCTCTCGTGGTCCCTGTGCCAGGGTGGGATGCGGGGAAGCCTGAGCCAAAGCCCCGAGAGGCAGCCCCCAGGGAGGCAAAGGTGCCCAGGGAGGGGCACTTACTTCCGGGCGCTGAGCTTGATGGTGAAGGGGCACCCTCGGGGGTCCACCTCAAAGATGGGGGGCTTCCCGCCGCCCGCCGCCCGGCAGCCGTGCCGGCAGTGGATGAAGAGCTCCCCGATCTGCTCGGCCACCGCGATGTTGTTCACCACCACGGTCAGTTTGACATTGTCCACAGGACACTTTTCTGGGGGAGGAGGGCGTGCT